CCTAAGAGTCTGCAGGAGTTTTCAACAAATACAAATCAGATAATGTCTCCCGACTAAGTCTAACCCTTTAATATGGCCCACTTGGATGCACTACAATTAACAATGACACATCAACAACAACAATAGAAAACATTTATTGAGCACTTACTTTGTGCTGTTCTAAGTAGCTACTTGCATTATCTCATTTACTCCTCACAACAACCCTTTGAGGTAGCAACTATTATCCCCCCATTTTAGAGAAGAAACCGAAGAACAGGTCCACCCCACATCCATTCTAAATGGCACCTCAGCCATTCCCAGCTATTGTACTGCTGCACCTCCTTCCAGACTTTTCTGCCACCGTTGGACATCCTTGGTCTGTAAAGCCCTGCCCCCCGTTGTTTGTTGGGTGAAAAATGACTAATCGTTTAGACCCAGTTCAGGAAAGCCTACTAGCCCAAGGAATGGTATTTCAGAATACAATATCAGATTGTTACCGGTAGAACGGCCATTCCTCAGTTCTTGTCCTCTTGAGGGAAAGAATTCAATCGAGAGAAAGATAAGTTTCAAGCAGCAGCAGTTTTTAGGTGAAGCAAAAGAACCCTCGCAAGAAGGGAGGAGAGCGGGCTGTCTGGGAACCAGAAGCAGCCCTGCAGTGAGCATAGGGTTGGTTTTTAGAGTGGTGAAAAGTCCCTCCCTGTGTCCTGCCTCATTTGATTGACAAGTTGATCGACAGCTTTAGCTTATGTAACTTTTCTCCTTGCGCACAGGGGCTTATGCATAAACTGCCACGCCCCACCCACAGGGGGCTGGAGGTGGGGCAAAAATTGCAAAGCTGATTTATTATAAATACAGCATAACGAACACTGGGTTACTCTGAGTCATCGCTTAGGTCTTGGTGCGCCTACGATAACCGGTGACGGCAGTTTGGAAAGTCCATTGGGTTTTTGATACCTTGCTTGGTCGTGAAACTGGCTGGAAACTTAGCGGTCCTTAACCAAAAAAGGGAGGATCTCTGGGTGTGTTCTTGTCACCAGTGTCCAGGTGGGGGAGGAAAAGATGACCCTGTCCAGGATGGGGCAGGACCACTCATGTCTGACTAGCTACCTAACAAGATTTGGAAGTGATCTTAAGGGGACATATAATTCTGGGATTTACAAACTGTGGGTTGCAACTCTCATTTGTAGGCCAAGACCAGGACTTGCAAAACTGGAGTAAAATAGAGTAAAAAGTAGCAGAGGGCAGCGAGTGAAGCTAAGTACTGTTTCAAGGACACTAACTGTTGTGTGAAAGCTGTGTATACCAGACCCCAAAGTAAAATGTATTTTTTACTGTGGATAGAGGTCCAGAATGATCTTTCTAAAAACCCTGATTCTGTCAGTCTCCTACTTTGAAAATTTTTGTGCTTTCCTGTTTCTATTAAGATTAAAAACAAAACAAAACAAAGAAAAACCCACAACGCCTCCCCACGGCCCACAAGGTCCTGCCCAGTTCAGCCCCTGCCTTGTCCCCTGTTCTTGAGAGTTCACCCGCAGCCTTTTAAGGTGCTACTCTCTCAGTCTGGACTGCCCTCCCCTTGCTTTACACCTGCTAACTCCATTTATCACTCGAGATTCTGCTCAAACATCACTTTCTCCCAGAAACCTCTGGTTCCTAGACTAGGTCAGGTCTCCACGTTATATGCTCTCAAGCATCCTAGACTTTTTCTCACAAGCACTTATCACAACAGAAATTAAAAAGTATTTGGTTTTAATTGCCTCCATCTTCCTTAGTTAGGTTCCTTCTGTGTATCTACAGCAATTCACACAGTTTTGCTTTGCTCATAGGAGGCATTCAGCCAATATTTGTTGAATAAAAGAATGAGTCTCTTGCCCAAGGCAAGAATCATCTTCTCTAAGAAACTTTTCACGATGCCAGTACTTATTCCATAACGGACTCCTAACCAGCACTGTTAATGATAGCTACCACTTCCAAAGCCCATGCACTCTGTTACCCAAGGGAAATGCTTTACCTGTGATATTTTGGCCTCACACAACCCTGAGAGAAAGGCAGTATTTTAAACACTTAACAGTTAGGGAAATTTGGTCAAAATCAAATGCAACTAGTAAGTGGCAGAGTCAGGATTTGAACTCCAGCTATCAAAACATGATACTAGCTCCCACTGAATGACATGTTTGTCTACACATCTGCCACTCCCTACTAGACTACACTCTAGAGGCAGGAACCAAGGCCCAAGCAAACAGTAGAGCCCCCATTAAATATATTTGCTAAATGAATAAAGAGACATGGGAAAAGTTAAGAGTTGGGAGCAGGGCACTTCATAACATCATAAAATAACCTAGTTGGAAGGGACCTATCCCGCCCAGGGGAGGAAGCGCCCCAGAATTCCTGATACCAGGTGACTTGCTATACCTCCCCTACAGCCTTTCTCGTATAGAACAGCTCTACCTACTAACTCAATTAGATTCTGGAAGCTTCTGTTGAGCATCTACCACATACAAGGCTCTATGCTGGGGACTGAGGGAAGGCGCCAACATGACGAAAGGCCTGTTCCTGCCTTCAGAGGCTCTACAGTCTGGTGGGGAGACAGTCACATACTAGCTCTAACACAAGGCAGGCTGTCATCTGGCCATAACCAAGAGTGAAGTATAAGCTATGAGAGCCCAGAGGAAGAAGCAATGAATTCCCATTGGGTGGATGAGGGTTGACGTCATAGCATAAGAAAGTTCTCTCTAATCAGAACAGAAATCTCTTCCACCCGGTGGAGGGTGAGACGGCCAAGGCCGCGTCACTCCTCAGTTGGCGGGGATCTCAGTTCCCTGACCAGGGACTAAACCAAGGCTGGGCAGTGAAAGCCTGGAATCCTAACCACTAGGCCACCAGGAAACCCCCCAATGGGGCCATGTTGAGTGAACCCAGTTCTGCCTTCTGAAGTGACACCAAAGTATAATCCTTTCCCCCAAGACAGTCTTTAAAATATTCAGGGATAACTACCTTGTCCTCTCCAGTTTTTCTCAAGGCGAACATTTCTCCTTTTCTTTGACTGGGTTTCACAAAAGAATGAATCAACATGTTAGTCTTTCCTCCTCCTCCAAGTACTAAGATATCTAGCCTTCAAGGCCAAGGCCAAGGTCAATGCCACCTTCTCCATCGAATCCCCTAATAATTTCACGGGAGTGGTATCTTACTTGCCTAAAAACAAGTACATACTAAAAAATGACTTTTGAAATCCTTTAAATTCACCCATAATGTACAGTAAATGTGGTTTTCTATATGCCTGTTTGCGGTTATCTGACATAGCCTGTTTTCCCCCAGTGTCGGAAGATATTGTGTAACTTTGATTTAGAGATGACAAAGACTCTCTCCTTGACTAAACTTTAGTCAGGCCCCTCTGAACCCTCTTCTGCATTAGGCCTCAACTTTGCCCCACCCCCAGTCCCTTACTGTCTCCTCTTAGTGATTTTCCATCCATGACCCCCTCACTCTGCTCATGGTTATAAATTCCCAACTGTCTTTGCTGTAGTGAGAATTGAGCTAGATCTCTCTCCCCATTGCAATACCCCTACTGCAACAGAATCAAATAGTCTTCCTCACCATTTAAACAAGTATCAGAATAATAATCTCTTTAACAGAGCCAAAAGAAGTCGTAGACTTTTGTTCAGAGCCACGTTGTACTTATTTTTTTGGACATAGGTGAATTTATGGATGTGAAGTGTTGATGATGTGACTCCATGGTAATTGTTCTTTCTTTACTTTCCTCCAGCATTTTTCTTATTATCTCTATTATAATCGTCATGCTATTTTACCATTTATTATAGTACACTGTATGCATATCATAGCCTCTTCTGCTCCCCTGGGATTGTGTATTTTTCTTTATATTCCCCACAGTGCCCAGCACAGTGTGAGGACAAAAAACAGATCATCATCTTTGCTCCTTCTTCAGATGTTGCTCAAGCTCGTTAATGTCCCTCTTAAAACGTGACACTCGTTACTGAAAACAATATTCCAGAAATGATCTGGTCAATCTGGAGAATCACTTACCTCCTGCCCCTCACACCAAACCACACTTCTATTAACACAGTCTAACACTTCTTTGGCTCTTTTAACAGCCACATCCGCCTTTTGGTGTGCGAAAACCCATGGTCTTTTTCAAGAGGACTGTTAGTAAGCCTAAATTCCCATCACCCAGTATTTATTTCTGTAAGTCTTTACATTTATCCCTTTAAAATTGTTCCTTGGTCTTCGGCCCAATGCTGCAGCCTGTTGATAGAGGTTTTTTGAAGCACAATTCTGTGGTTTGAGAAAGAGAAGTCTCTTTGATTTTCACTTGGATGGGAACAGGCAAGGGGGACCAAACAGCCTTTAGCCACAGGATGAGAAGGGGCCTCCAGGAGACTGGCCCCAGCCGGAGTCTCCATGGAGAAGCCACAGGTGCTAATGGAGGTTTGGTACGTATGCAGTTTGTGCCCTTTTCTTCTACCCCGAGCTCCCTGAGACTCTCCCTGCTACACGGCGTCTCTTCAGCTCTCTGGGATAGTGAACCACCGAGGAAGCAGCCCCTCGACGAGGGTACGGGGGTCCCCGTAAAGCTTGCGCAAGCGGGGATAGCCACCAGCAGGCAGCCCGCTCCCCGCGCTTCCGCAAAGCATGGGCCCTCTCCCGAGCTCCCCTCCCCCACGCCGAGCGCTGCCCCCCCCCGCGGGCGGCGCGTGGGCGCAGCACCTGGCTCCCCGGACTGGTCCCGCGCCGCCGGGGGAGCGGGATGACGGAGAGTCTCTCCACAGGGACTCGACGCAGGGGCCCGGCCCGGGCAGAGCGGGCGGGCTGCGGGCGGCGCTGGCGGCGCGGGCGGGGCGTGGGCACTGAGCGGGAGGGGGGACTGCGCGGCCCCGGGACCGGCCGGAGCCACTGGGGGAGCTGCGTCCCTCCGCGCCCCGGGGCGGGAAGGGTGGCCCCGCCGCCGGGGTCGTGGCGGCAAGCTGGGCCCGCGATTTGGGACCGGGGAGTGGGCCGGCCCGTACCTGGTCTTGAAGTCCTGGTTATAAATGGTCCGCAACCGCTCGCGATCTGTCTCCCTGTCCAGTCCCCGATCGACCAGGAAATTCTCGAATCTCTGGCCCGTCTCCCGAAGCTGCCGGCAGCTGAACTTACTGGGCATCGCGGCGGCGACTGCGGCCCAGGCAGGAGGGTTCGTAGAAATGAAACTGAAAGTCGCCGCCGCGGCGGGAAGTTGGCGGCCCTAGGATGAGGGTGCAGCAGGGGAAAAACCCCCTAACTCTGACCCCTGATCCTGCAGGGTCCCTTCTCCCCCCCACCAGGCTTCCCTCCGTTCTTTTCCTACCTGAGCCTTCCCTTCGGTCTCTTCGTCCTATCCCCTCCCCCTCTTCCCATTAACTCTTTCCTAAGGAGTCTGACCCCTCCCTCAGGGCCCTCCCCTTACCCCAAGCTCCCTCCCCTGGCTTCCAGCCAGAATCCGAACGTGGCTATCGCCTGGGGCCCCCTGAACCGTCCGGGAGGACTTCCTAGCCTCAGCTTGGGCTACTCCCACGCCCACCTCCCAGGACTTCGGGACTTATTGAAAAGCAGGGGAGCAAAGGGCAGGGACTGGGACCTGGGTCGGCTGCAGCTGGACTGGGGCGGCTCGTCCAACACCTCCCCCAGACAGCCTGGGACACAGGCAAGTACAGAAGCGAGCGGTACGCCCCCCTCCCTCCCCCATTTTCCCTTCTCGGGGTTTCAGACGCTTGGAGAAAGGCGTAAGAGCCAAGAAGTTTGGGGGGAAAGAACCAAGTGTCTCTGATAAAGGTGAGTACGCGTGGGAGGGAGGGACAAGGGGCTCCGCTGGGACGAAGAGTCATTACTTTTCTCTTGTCACGTAGGCTTCGTTATGTGGAGAGGCTTAAGCCACATATTTGGGCACTTAATTGCACTCCAGTCTATTACTCTTTAATTGTTACTAGTATTTAGCTAAGGGTTGCCCTAGTCATCAAAATATTAGCTTCTTGAGAGCAAGAGACTGTTATGTTAGGCAATAAATGGTTAATAGCTACAGCATCAGTACCAGGAAGAGAAGTAAAAGAAGTTTCAGAAGACGGACTGTTAAGACAAACTAAAGGGGGTAGGGCTACAAGAACAAACCTAAAACAAGCCTCAGCATCTGTTTATCTTCTGAATAACAAAAACACATACACTAGGATGGAGCAAAGATAATAAAAGTTACAGTAAAAAAATCTTTAAACAAAAATACCAGATTTCCAAATATATCCAAGGTGGTGCTGTTCTCCGAAGTAATGCCCTGTAGGAAGCCACACGCTCTATCTAACCTAGTGTGAAGAATGCCCAGAACCCAGATCATGCTCCAGTTGGGCTACCCCTGTACCTTTTCCCAGGCCAACAACCAACTAAAGCCAAGAAAAACAGGCTTTAGCAACAGGAAATTCAATGTCAGTGGGAACCAAAGCTACAGGGAGGGGGGAAAACAGAACAGGGGAAAATCTTGTCTTAGAAATTGCTTATTCAAAGTAGGGGGAAATACTAGGAATGTAGCCAAAGATTTTATCTTTTTTCTCCCCCAATTATCTGGTGAGGTCTGAGAAAGAGAGTGAACTCCTCAGAACTGCATTGTTACTTACCATTTCAAAAACCTATCAATCCCCCACCATACCCAAACTGAACGTCTGGCTCCATTCTTCTTTTTTTTTTTTAACATCTTTATTGGAGTATAATTGCTTTACAATGTTGTGTTAGTTCCTGCTGTATAACACAGTGAATCAGCTATATGTATACATATATCCCCATATCCTGGCTCCATTCTGATCCACAAATCTAAGCCCCCATTATTCCTGAGTACTTAACCTCCCCCTTCTCTAATTATGCCTGTCTCCTGGATGTTCACAAAACATACACAAATAGCTGTAGTATAGTAAAAACATGGGTGAAAATGTGATGTTATGTGTCTTGTTACAAGGGAACCTCTCTAAACCAGTTTCGTCTGGAAAAATCCACTTCCCTTGGAGTTGTAATCGTTATTTTCACGTGACTGTCTAGACTGCTAGAATGGTCTTCCTTCCCACCTTTCACAAACCAGTTCAAGTCTCACTTTCCTGAAGCCTTCCCCAAATCCATCTGTACTTATAAATATCTGACTTTAAAGTAGTAAGGTTGATTTTAGTTTGGGACTAAATAAGCACTGAAGGCAATCTGAAAGTTAACTCTGGCCAATGACATTACTGGAACAAACCTAGAGCCTCCGAAGATAACCATACTTTGGAGAAGAATGTTAAAAGCCCTGTTTTTTTCAAAATTCACGTTACTCTATAGTTACTTGGATTCTACAATTCAGCATTTGAATTGTCTCTAACTTTATGTATTCCAGTAAGACTACTCTAAGGCAACTAGAAACAGCCCTTAAACTGAGATGCTGAAATTGGTCAGTCTACCACAGACCAAAGGAATGGCTGTGGTAGGTACAGCTGAGCCTCGTTATTTGCAGATTTTGTATTTGCAAATTCACCTACTCACTAAAATTAGGAATCCCCCAATCAATATTTGCGGCACTTTTGTAGTCGTCTGTGGATGTGAAGAGTGCCAAAAAAATTTGAGCTGCCCAATGTGTAAGTTCCCAGCTGAAGTGGAACAAGGCCATGTCCTGCTTTCTTGTTTCAGGCTCATATAATAAAAATCCTTTTCATGGTCTATTTTGTGGTCACGTTTTTTTGTTTTTGTTGATTTCACTGCTTAAAATGGTCCCCAAGCCTACGTAGTGCTGAAATGCTGCCTAGTATTCCTAAGAAGGCTGTGATGTCCCTTAGAGAGAAAATTCCCATGTTAAGTTCCTATGATAGCATTAGCTGTCAGCGTGAGTTCACTGTTAATGAATAAAAATGAATATTAAATAAGGTGATTTAAATAAAAACATATAAACCAAGATTATGTATTGATCCGTTGACAAAAATGTTGTGACCAGAAGCTTGCAGGAACCTAACTCTGTATCTCCTCTAGGAGCAATGTTTCAATATGTGCTAATTCAGTGTTTGCTGGAAACTTTACAGAACATAACCACAGTAAATGAGTCAACATATTTAAGAATACTTTTTGATACGTTTGGTTTCTGCCCTCAGAAGCCTTAGATCTATACCTTGTTTTGTTTGTTTTGCTTTTGGCTGCACTGCACGGCTTGCGGAATCTTAGTTCCTGGAACAGGGAATGAACTCGTGCCCCCTGCAGTGGAAGCATGCAGTCCTAACAGCTGGACCACCAGGGAATTCCCTACTGTTTTTTAATATATACTCTGTTCGAGCGAGAATTTTAGTTAGCTCAGCTTATCTTATGGGACCAGCCAGTTTTGTTCTATATTTAGCAGTCTTTCTTTCTTTCTTTGATTTCCCAAGTAGTAAGTAGCTTGGTAGTTCTGTTTAAATTATGAATTTATAAATTGGCATTCAGATTGTATCAGTCTTTTGTGAGTTTGGAGAAAATGTGCCAAGGTTTGCTAAGTATCTCATGAATCTAGATGAGTTCTAGATTATAAAAAAGAACAAGCACATCTTCCCTGGTGGCACAGTGGTTAAGAATCCGCCTGCCAATGCAGGGGATACGGGTTCGAGCACTGGTCCGTGAAGATCCCACATGCCGTGGAGCAACTGAGCCCATGCGCCACAACTACTGAGCCTGCGCTCTAGAGCCCGCGAGCCACAACTACTGAAGGCCATGCACCCAGAGCCCATGCTCCAAAATGAGACAGGCCACCGCGATGAGCGGCCTGCATGCTGCAATTAGAGAAAGCCTGCATGCAGCAACGAAGACCCAACGCAGCCAAAAATAAATAAATAAATAAATTTATTTTTTAAAAAAAAGAACAGGCACTAGAACTAGGCAACTAACAGAAGCACAACCATCCAGGCACAAATGGAGCAGTAATTTCAAAATTTCAGCAGTGTAATTTCAAATTTTCAAATATAGGAGTGAGGCCTCACAGAAAACTCCTCTCCCTCTGGCTGGGAAACTTTTGCCCTAGGATACCATAGGCTGATTTCAGCAGTGTGATAAAATATACACAATTCAAGCAAATTCTCTGCTGAAGGAGGTTAAGGAAATCAGGAGGTCTGTGTAGGACTTGGCAAGGAGAGTTGACGTCCACTTATATAAGAAACCAAGGGCTTTAGATGGCCAAGAGATTAAGAGTCTTTACAAAAGTCTGTATGGACTAAGGAAATCTACGGGGCAGGCTGATGGGGTTAGTAAGTTAAAGGCAAAGGCCAGAATGCTTGAACCTGTACTACAAGTACATAGTGTAGTACACCTAAATGTCCCTCAAAGGGGTGGGAATTTGAACTGGCCTTGAATGGAAGGTGAAGCACTGAAACGCCTCTGGTTCCATTTTGGGAAACAGGACAGAAGCCTTTCCCACATGTCTGTAAGCAAGTTAAACGCATATGGAAAGAAAGCAGCATTTAAAGTTGATGTGAAATATTACCCAAGTTCACGGTGCAGGGATTCTTTCACTTCTACTGCCTACCTAGTAACTATAATTACTTGGGCCTTGTTTTCTGAGTGAAGGAAGAGAAGATAACTAGATTTTTCTTTTTGACAGAAATAGAAACCCCAAAACAAAGCCTTTGAAACACCAGTAGCCACTGAGTGTAAACCAGTATGATCCATAGAGAAATTGCTCAAACTTTAAAAAAGAAAAAAAGGGGGGGTAGGACTTCTCTGGTGGTCCAGTGGTTAAGACTCCACGCTCCCCACTGTAGGGGGCATGGGTTCAATCCCTGGTCATGGAACTATGGTTCACATGGCATGGCTACCAAAAAAAAAAAAAAAGCTGTTCTTTGCAAGTCTTTGGATAGTCACTGAATTTATAGTAGTTGAAGGTAGAAACCAATTTCAGAAACCCTGAACATTCTCATCAAACAAGATCAGTTCCATATCTTACCTTGAGAACAAAGGCTGAAGAGACTGGCTCAAAAAGGAGAGACTCAGACAATTTAAGAACAAAACAGGTATATTTCTATTGGACTACCTGATACAGAGGATAGTGTGGTATGGATGGATAGTATGAATGACAAATAATACAAATATATTTTATTTGAAATAAACAAAAATGCTTACACAGCTCAATGGGTCACTTGGAAATAAACTCTTGCTTGACTGTATTAC